TGCAGCATGATAATGGACGGCCCCATGTTGCAAGGATCTGTACACAAAATCCTGGAAGCTGAAAACATCCCAGTTCTTGCATGGCCAGCATACTCACCAGATATGTCACCCATTGAGCATGTTTGGGATGCTCTGGATCGGTATATACGACAGCGTGTTCCAGGTCCTGCCAATATCCAGCACTTCGCACAGCCATTTAAGAGGAGTGGACCAACATTCCACAGGCCACAATCAACAACCTGATCAACTCTATGCGAATGAGATGTGTTGCACTGCCTGAGGCAAATGGTGGTCACGGACCTCCCCAATACAGTAAAACTGCACATTTTAGAGTGGCCTTTTATTGTGGCCAGCCTAAGGCACACCTGTGCAATAATCATGCTGTCTAATCAGCATCATGATATGACACACCTGTGAGGTGGATGGATTATCTCGGCAAAGGATAAGTGCTCACTAACACAGATTTAGACAGATTTGTGAACAATATTTGAGAGAAATAGGCCTTTTGTGTACATAGAAAAAGTCTTAGATCTTTGAGTTCAGCTCATAAAAAATGGGGGCAAAAAACAAAAGTGTTGCGTTTATAATTTTGTTCAGTGTTAACTAATGTTAACTAATGAAACCTTATTTTAAGAAACATTTCTTGGTAACACTGTAAGGAGCAAATCAGCATATCAGAATTAATTCTGAAGGATCATGTGACACTGAAGACTGGAGTAATGATACAAAAAAATCAACTTTGCCATCACAGGAATAAATGACATTTTAAATTATATTAAACAATAAAACAGTTATTTTAAATTGAATAATATTTCACAACATCACTTTTTTTCTGTGTTTTTAATCAAATAAATGCATCCTCATTGAGCATAAGAGATGTCTTTCAAAAATATAAAAAGAATGGACACTGACCCCAAACTTTTGAATGGTGGTGTACTTTCACATTCTTTTTCCTGGTATTATACATCTGCAAAGAGCAAAACAAAGAACAAAGGAGTTTAAGGACTTTGCACAACTTTTTCCAGAACTTCAAAGCTCAAAAGTCTAAATATTATCCAATTTAAATGTTATTTTTAATGTGATGACCAAAACCATTTTTTGTTCATCCTTCAAAGATTGCCCACATTTGTAAAACTAAAGTTTTTATAATGTAGGAAAACTTACGCTTGGTGAAATTCAAACACTTTTATTTTAAAATGAAAAAAGACACTAAATTACCACTAAAACAGTGGATGGTTGCAGAGGAACACTTATTGGCCCATTAGCCATTTCTACTCCCTAACATAGTTTTTTTTTTTTTTTTTTTTGACGTTTTGCTTATGAATGAATTTTTTTAGAGATTATAAAAGATGAATATGAAAAACTATTATAACTGTATAACTATTGTTGTCACTTTTTTGTGCTGAATTGTGAAGTAAATACATAGGAAAGGTCACAAAGTCTCATGACAGCAAGAAAGTGCGTGTCCTTTATAATCACTGAAGCTCTCAGTCAGTTCAGTGCAAACTCATTGAGTGCGAAAACTCCTGTTTTAATGAATGAATCTGTCTAAACTTCAAAATTAATCTTTTATTTACATTGTTATAATGAGAGCGTGTGTATGATTTTGTGATTAAATATCAAACAGAATCCATTCAATAGGAGACATCACAGGGGTCGCCACAGCAGAGGAAAAAGGGTGTCTAAATTTAGGATCTCAGCAGGTGTGTCATTAAACGAGAGGGAAAATAATGAAAGAGTGATAATGAAGAACAGGTGGACATCGGGGAGGAACACAGAATTATCATGCCTGAATACTCTTTACACAAATTCTCTCTCTTCATTCTTTATCTTGCTCATTGTGCATCCTGCTTAGCATTGTGTAAAGACAGAAGGAGAAGAATGAGACAGGGAGCTGTGGACGCAGATTTTGTATCTGTTTGATTGGAATGGAAATAAATATCAGATTAAAGGACAACACTCAAGACGAAGCGGCTTCTTTTCATGTAAATGGCCATTAGGTTATTTGCATGTGTCAGCTCTGCCTCTGAGCCACCAGGTGACTGATTTCACAAGCCCGTCATGTTGGGTTTAGATAAAAGGAGTTGAATGGTGAGTGTTTGGAGGTCTTCGTCAAGGTTGAGCAATTAAAATGAAAATGTAAAGCTTGCTTTAATGGATTTGTCATGTGCTTAAAAACTCCACAGCCCTTTCACTGTTTACTTTTGATTTGAATGTGCCCTTTTAGAAACCTTGTCTTCTGCATTGCTTATTTACCCATGATCAAAAAACAATAAAACTGTCCATCTCAGCTTTTGAACATGCATGCCACAGCTGGTGATAACACACATAGGGCTGGGTAGGTGGGTGTTTCCGAGGTAATTAGAGAATATAGTGTTTTACTCCATTAGATTGACATCATCTGGATCAAATTATACAGTTTGAGACAGCCATTGCAGATACTGCAGTTCCAAACTCCTTCTATTGTTCAAGCGATCGACTAAGTACTACTCATTATATTACAACAGTTGGCTTCTGTCACTGACATATAAGTGACTATAAGTACTGTGTATGTTTACATAACTTGTTTTTTTTTTCTGTGCCTTTTTGACATCATTTAAATCCTCTCATTATATGTACAGTAAGTGTAGACACAATGTATGTAAATAAGCTATTCTTCATGCAGTTTAGCTTTTTTGATTATAAAGGGAGTTTTCGCAAAAGTGCAGAACTCAGTGAGCTTTTCCAATGTGAAGAATATTTGAAACCTACATACTTATTTCTTGATGTATCGTTTAATAATTTACTTATATATTTTCTGATTTTGATTGCTATTACTTGTATACAACAGTGTCATAAAAAAGAAATGAAATGTATAAATTAAATTCATATTAATCATTTTATTTTTATTTTTTTCGACCCTGACAATAAAAACAGTCAGGAATAAGCCATTACGCACATGTTTCTTTAATATCAAAACCATTATGTTGCTACATGTTTGTCATTTATGTGAACTGTCCACAAGTGAAGACATTTGGCCACACACTAAACATATACACATAAGGGGGGAAAGAAAATTAGAGAAAGCGAAGAAATGGGGAACTTGCTCTTGTGGACCTACACTGTACTTGTCGATATATTGATCTGGTGGCCTGGCAGGTCGATCAATGTCAAAAGGGAGTGCTGTGCTTTGAAGCTAATCTAAGGGCAGAATTCTCATGCCCAGATTCTTAAGCTTTAAAAGAGATTGAGCCTCAGATCAGCTTATAAAGGTAACACACAAAAACACTCTAAATAATATACAGACATTATATATGATGGGGTGATTTCAGAATTGCATGCCCTCATGATTCTGACCGGGGTTAAGATGAATCGTATATGCAGGGAACTACTGTACGACAGTGCTTGTGTTTGATTTACGCTACAGCAGAGGCTCTGTTATGGAAGGGGACGTGTAGGTCAGTAGGATCAAAGTTACACACAACAAAAATACATTGAATCCAGTGATCCACAGCATGCATCTCTGCATGCATGAACACACAAACACACACCCCTGCCAGCCAGAGTGCATTCATGCATGTGTACACACACACACACACACACACACACTGAGTCTCTGACAGTTCAGATATCACATACAGCATCACATTGAACACATTAACATCCTCTCTATCATTCTTTACCTTCTGTATAAAATTACCTGCACACCCATTTACAAATATTATAACATCTGTTTCAGGTTGTCCGATCACAAGTACCAGTATTAAATACAGATGTAAATGTCAATCATCTCATATCTCATTTCATCATCAATAGCTAGTAGTGTTAAGGTCTTTATCCTGTGTACTTAAGACAACAGATGTTAAGTTTTTACCATCATAAATATTTTCACAACATTGCAGGAACGTTGTTTTGATGATGTTAGTAGTTCCCCTGGTACAACATATGCCAGTCATCAAAATTAGTGTCCCATCTTTCAAATGAAAGTGTTTACCAGTAACATAAAACAGTAGTGAGTGTAGTGACAATAGTGAGAAAAGAGAGAAGTACATCAAATGTGAGGCTCCAGTGTTGTCTTTTTCGTCATGGTTCTGTATTCAAATGATGTTAATTCAGTATGATTGATGAAAACCGGCATTATCACCTGACATTTCGTTCGTTCGTTCGTTCGTTTGTTCTTTTCTTTTCTTTTCTTTTCTTTTCTTTTCTTTTCTTTTCTTTTCTTTTCTTTTCTTTTCTTTTCTTTTCTGCTTTACTTATAAGCAATTAACCCTCCTATTGTTTTAGAAAACTGTATGCACGTTTTGTATTCCCAAGTCAGTTTTTACCCGGTGGAAGGCGAGCTTATAAAACAGCCATAACTTAATATTTTTTAACTAAAACCATCTGATCAGTCACAAACCATCTGATCAGTCACTCACTTTTTTGATTCAAAGTCAAAGTTTTAAATGTTACTGTATTTTACCATGCTAGTACTATACTACTTTCCTCCTTTTTTATTAATTAAAAAAATTTTAATGGTTCTTTTTTTTTTTATTTTTTTTTTTTTATCCATATGCAAAAAACAAAAATGTTTTTTTTTTTATACAATATCTGTTTTAGAAAATGTTATATACGAATTCGGGTTAAAACTGACCCAAATCTTATTCAGATGATTATTTAAAACATAAAAAGGCTCAGTTTGCTTTACATAGTGAAAATGATAACATTTTAAGGCTGTTTAAAGAAAAATTAAGTAGTGGAGAATGCATTAAAAACTACTTATTTTCACAATGTTTGTAAAGTGTTTTATTTGTTTTACTTTTTCATATTTTAGGTGTCAATGGTCTAGAATGCTGTACAACATCACTAATAGCAACCAAAATACAATGTTGTGAATGAGATGCAATGTTGCAAAATCAGTTTCATTTTCCTGTTTCCTTTTCCTTGTTCTTGTTACTGTCTTATTGCTTTATCTTGTGTAACTTTTTTTAATTATGCCAGATCATATAACCAGTTTCTTTCTTCACTGTGTGTTTCAGGACAGTCCTCTGGTCTTACAGTCAGACCGCAATGTGACAGTGAATGCACGAAATAACCTTGGCCAGCTGACAGGACAACTCACTGTGGGTGAGTGGCATTTTTTAAACTATGTCATGGACATGTTTCCCGAGTTCACAGATTCTCATTTCGCAGTGGCCCGTTTCATTAATAGCTCATGTGCTTTTCATATTCTCTCTTTATTGTTTGAGCTACCACAATTTTTTCATGTTTAGAACTCCTACAGCTTTGCCCTCCAAACCTTACTGTAATATGCAATTTGTCATATGCTCATTTACATGAAAGAACACATTTGAATAAGAAAAACACTTGACAATTTCACCATTGTTAGTAAGTTGCTAGTAAACATATACATTATGATTTCTTTTAATTTATTACCTTGATGGCATTTAATGACACGCCAAAGGGCTTTTGGGCCTGGATTTTTTTTTTTTCTTAGACTGTATTATATGCTGAGATCAAATTGGAAGAACTCTAAAATTTGGTGTTCGTTACTGTCCAGTGTCCACCCCAACTGAAGCTCTTTTGTTTTGTGCCAGGTTTCTTGCCTTTTGTTTGTTTCCTGGCATTTTCTTTCAGTTAATTAGTTCCTTGTATATTTAAGCCTTCTTATTTAACTTTTTTTCTTTGTCGGTTCTTGTCAATTGGTGTGCATTTTTAATTAATAGTGTTTTATGTTTTCTGGGATTTTAGAGGGTTCCAAGCTATAGACTCTTGTATCTTGCCTTTGTTTTTTTGAAAATAAAGTAGTACTTAGATCCCATAAGACCTTTTAGCCCCCATTTAAGACTCTATGAGACCCAAAGTGTTACACCAACCTCCCAAAAGGTACAGTTGCCTGTTTTGAAAGCCTTTTGTGATTGTATGTACATCATTTTCCACATTGGTCCTGATTGGTTAGTGGTAGTTTGGTACTAGTTTAGCTAGTGGGCCACCAACCGAGGTCAAGCTTGCGTCTGAGAGAAGACGATGATGATTCAGTGCACTGAATCAGTTTGGTTTCAGTAAGATTTTAAGCTTTTAAATAAGATTTTATTTAGCAAGGACACATTAAATTGATCAAAAGTGACAGTAAAGATATTTAGGTATTATGTAAGAGTTTCCACAACTGTCTTCAACATTGACGTTAAGGGAAAAGGTAACTTGAGCACAAAATCTGCATATTAGAATGATATCTGAAGATTTGTGCGACACTGAAGACTGGAGTAATAGCTGCTGAAAATTCAGTTTTGCTATCAAATAAATAAATAAAAATAGAAAACTGTTATTTTAAATTGTAATAATATTTTACAATGTTAGCCTACTGTTTTTACTGTATTTTGGTCAAATAAATGCTTGTTGAGCATAAGAGATTTTCAGATTGTTCTGGTCCAGTTTAAGCCCTGATTTAGTTTTTTCATGTGCAAGGTACATCAGAGAACTCATTCACATTTACACAGAACATTGCACCAATCCTGCAGACCTATGTTTTTTTTTTTTCAGTAGAAGCTCAGTTTCACCATCACGTTTCAGAAGACAGCAGGTTGCATTCTGGGGCCGACTGCCTACTGGGCTCAGGACCTCCATCAATTACTGCTGTATCTCAATGCAGCCACGGGGGTTTCTGGAGCCCCTGTGTTTTCTAGTGTTTTCAGTGAATCCTCTTTGCTTGTCAAGGATTTTTTTTTCACTCCAGGGTATGCAAGTCAGAGTGTTTATGTTTTTGTGTGTGTATAAAAAGAGCTACCTGACTCAAACTAGCTGTAAGATCAGAGCAGAAGCAACCACCCCTAAAGCCAGCAGAAGTCTAGATGCTCTCCCTCACTTTCTGCTCATGGACTACAGCACATCACAGCTTTGCTGTGCAAAGGAAAACAGAGAAAAGAACAAACATGCACATTTCCCCTGTATTAGTAACAGGCAGCAAAGAAATATTGAAACTTTGGTGGATTTTCTCAGATTTTCCACTGTTGGATATGGGTAAAGGAGCGGTCACACTACATTTTGCATTCCATTGACTTCCATTCATACATATGCTAGAGAACAAAAACTCAAGCTCGGATTTCGCTGCTTTCCAAAGTTCAAGCATGGTGAACCCTGACCCGCGATTATTCGTATCACTTGAAGACATGTGACCAATAGAAGATTGATATACCACAGCGTGACCTTTTAGCTGAATTAAAAGAACACAATCTTTAAATATGCAGGATTGCAGCATTACTGTAAAGTGGAGTAGAAATTGTGCATGCTCAAAGTCTAGTGTGACCATGACTTTAGTGGTGCACGGTTTGGTAAGGTTGAGCAAAATTGAGAATTGAATAATTTACTCCTGCTTAGTTCATGTGTTGGAATTTAAATTAAATTGCCCACGTCTTACATGAAGTTGAAAACAAATTTGAATTGCAATGCAATGAAGTATAATTCAATTAATTACAGTAAAGAGAAATTCAATAGGTAATGGCATTTGGGGAAATTAAGTGTTTTTTCACCTTGGTTCATAATATTTTCTTTAATAATTTAGTTTGATTTACTGATTTAACTTTAATTATTTATTTAATTATTAATTGTTTGTGTTTCTGTAATCACGTCACTCCGGCTTCACATTTAGTGTTCCTCATTCGTTCACTAGTGGTATGTAAAACACAACATACAGTATACTGGTCTTTGCAGCTGGAACGTGCTGTATTAATGACCAGATATGGCTTTAGAAATTATATAATCTGATTCTAAATATAGTATATAGATCTGCTTTCCTAGCAAAAACACAGCAAGCATTATCTGCCTCGTATGGCCTGTTTTATGATGAATGCAAATAATTGAAATGAAATCTCTGGCTATTTGTGTCCCATGGAGCTTTATTATGTACGAAGCAGGACCATAAATTAACCAATGCAAATTAAAAAGTGATAAAAATCACCCTATATGTAATGTTTGGCAGCAAAAGTTGCCCTCATAGTGATTTTCTATTTCTATTAAGTCTCTTTATTAGTTTAGTATTTACTATAGTGCCTCTTCAGACAGCATAGTGAGAGTCATATAGCGCTCTCGCCAATGTGCCCTCTATATCCTCTCTTTGACATTACCCGCTCTGCAGAGCCGTTGCCTTCAGGCTCTCTCGACATTGTCTGAACATTTAGGGAATTTAGTTGCAGGGATTAGCTCCCAAACAGGCAGCAAAGTTATACTGTATCACCTCTCTCTCCTGCACTCCTGTTTGTTTCCATTCTCTCCTTGTTCTCTCGTCCCTGAACCCACTCACTGCAAGTACATTAATCTTCAAACAGAAATTGTATAGGGGTGCTGAGAGCCAGAGAGCATGGGCTGTCCTCTGATAGCTTGGCCCAAGAGTCCAGAGGTCTCTGTTTTTATAATATGGCCCATAAGTTCAGGTGATTGATGCGCAGTTGCGTTGTGGTGAGCATGAAGCGGGAGCACTGCGATCATGACTTCATCCTCTGTTCATAAGGGAGTCGCTTAAATATCTGAGAGCTGTAGTCCGTCATGTTCTTTGTGGCTTTAGGCCCAAGGTTCTCAAACCAGTCGAAACCCAACTAGTCTCGCATAGCCAGTCCTTCAGACTGACGGCAGAAGGTCTGACTCTGGACTCCATTGCAGCTTTCATTGGCCAAGAACCACCCAAGAGGACGTCTGACTGACATGTAAAGCAACCAATCACAGTTTTATTTTGTTCAGTGTCATGTTTAGGGGATGTGAAAATGTAAGTCATTTGCTGCGTCCCAATTCGCCTACTTATACTACGCCCTAAAAGTATGTACTCTTTTTGTAAAGAAAAAGTACATACTTTTGAGTGTGTAGCAAAAGAGTAGGCAAGCTTTGGGACATACTACTTCGTCATCATTAACGGACAGATCTGTCGCGTGCTGCGTGCAGCCTGTCACTGTAAACTGCCCTGTCAATCATCTCGTCACAGTTAAAATCCTCCATTCAATCTAAGTTAATTTCTTACGGTTTCGTAGAGAAATGTTGTCGCACGTTCATCTGTCAGTCGTGGGTCTTTCATGCCGAGACTCTCCTCATGTGTTTGGATTTTGAATGTAATAATGCATTTAAAAGTTAATGGCTAAACACATCTTTGCAAAAGTTCACAATGCTGCTGCAGATGCAATATAATGTGGACAACATTGAATAAATACATTTTCGTCAGGTTAGATACTGATAATTAATCACTCAAACCCCTTTATCAAAACCTCTCTACATAACCGTTGGACTCACGTGTCCTCCATGTCTGTAGTTTTTGAACACTTTTCACTTGTGTTTGTAGTTCTAACCGAATCCTCGTCCAACGCGCGATGGGTTGTGGGCAATATCAGCCGTTAGAGTGTGCAACGATCTGCACTTCGGATACTGACCGGAAATAGTAGACCATCCGGGTCTCTTTGGAGCACTCATTTCAACATACTACGATTTGGGACGTACTAATTCTATTTCGAATACTATTTAGGACGGATAGGATGCGAATTGGGACGCAGCAATTGTCCTCACAATCGTGCAAGTGTACTGCAACAATGGCACAACAATGGTGCTGTGAACTATACTTTTGAAAATCCAGCATTTCTGTCAGGACCACTATCGTCAAATACGATTGACAATTAGCATACAGTTTGGATTGGCGGTATGGTTCCGTTGTGGGCGAGAACTCCCTGCGCACCCATGCAGTCTAGCATGGATAAGAGCAGGGAGAGCAGCAATAACCCCCCTTAGGGTAAACAGAACAGAGCCAACATGAATGTATTGCAGATATCATTAATTCAAGATTTTAAAATACAACATAATTCGAGAATTTATTCTGATTCAAGGGGAATCAGAATGCCAAATGCTGAATGGGCGAGAGGAGGAGCTGGGGATGGAGGAGGGTAATTAGCTCCTGAGAAACGCAATAGCGGCTGATAATACTGAAGGAGCTTATATATGTATACAGTGATGGGCGTCATATTCCTATAGGTAGAAGTGGATCAGCTGATGCGAGCTTGACTAACGTGACCAGCCAGAACTGACGCTACTCTTGATTTAGTTGATCCTGATAAGTGCTCATTGTCACAATTGTAAACACGACAGCTTATATGAACTGT